TCGTGAACGTCTTCTAAGCCGCTTCTTGTGCATAAGTCACCAATGGTAACCTGCGGTTGCCCACACACGCCCACCATGCCTCTCCTCCTTGACCTTTGGATCACCAGCAATTTTTCTTCCTGGGAGATTATGGTGTTCTCTGATTCACAGCCACATAGTCTCACCAGGAAAACAATCATATCAGGAAGATGAGTTTCAGTGGACAGGAATAATTCGGGATCAGTGAAAGCTCTATGCAGGCAATTGCTGTCTTCTTCCTATTCAAGTCTAGGGCCAGCTCATCGTCCACCTGCAGAGTCTGTTCAAGACATACCAGTTGGAGCAGAAGACCTTTGAGGTCTCTCTTTTTTTTTTTTTTGGTGAGACACTTGGGGTTAAGTGACTTGCCCAGGGTCACACAGCTAGTAAGTGTCAAGTGTTTGGTCTGAGGCTGGATTTGAACTCAGGTCCTCCTGACTTCAGGGCTGGTGCTCTATCCACTGCACCACCTAGCTGTCCCTTTCTTTTTTTTAATCTACTTTATTTTTTTTTTCTTGGCTAGGCAATGGGGTTAAGTGACTTGCCCAAGGTCACACAGCTAGTAAGTGTTATGTGTCTGAAGCTGGATTTGAACTCAGGTCCTCCTGAATCCAGGGCCTGTACTCTATCCACTGCACCACCTAGCTGCCCCTTGAGGTCTCTTCCAACTTGGAGAGGCCATGATGCTGATGGAATAATACCCTGGTGACCTACCCAACTCTTTGCTATGGTGGATATGGATAATCCAATCCAAGAAACACTTATTAAGCAGCTAATATGTGTAAGCCATTGTGCTAGGCACTAGAGATGCAACAATAAAACAAAACTCAAAAAAAGGGCCTTCCCTCAAGAAGCTTCCATCCTACAGACGGGAGACAATATGTATGCCTGCATGTGTGCGTCCTTGCACGCGTGTGTATGTAGTGTTTGGCTGACATTATATTGTGTATTCTCTCCTGGAGAGAAGGGACTGTTTTTGCTTTTGTATACTTGGTGCCTGCTATAGTGGCTGGTGCACAGTAAGCACTTAATAAATGCCGGCTGACTCAATGAATTCCCTATCACTAAACATGCCACTTGGTGTACTTATGTGTCTCTATATAAAACATATATGCATATATTATATACACATAAATGTATATATGCACATATATATTATGTACTCATATGTATACAATATATAATACATATATTATGTGCTTATATGTACATACACACATACATGTGTCTGTATAATATATGTGTATACGTGCATACATATAAATATGTACACATATATTAGCATGTGGCATCTAGTGGACACAGTGGATAAAGAATTGTACTTGGTACTCAGGAGAACTGAGTTCAAATTCTGTCTCAGACACTTACTATCTGTGTAACTCTCAGCAAGTCACTTAAATGCTCCCAGCCTCAGTATGATCATCTGTAAAATGGGGATAATAATAGCACCTAATTCACAAAGTTGTTGTGATGAGCAAATAAGATTATATATATTTTAAATATATGTGTACTTATATACACACACATACACAGTCCTTTACAAATCTTAATATGCTATAGAAATGTTAGCAACTATTATAGCTATTATTTTGTTGTTTATTATTCTGTTGAAAATAAGCATAGAGGTGGACTAATAAAGACTACACAGATGAGAAAATATACATATGAGTGGTAGGTGTTACTATCTTCTTACTCACTTCCTTTATGCTAATATAAAATTTTGATTCTTCTTTTTCTCTCTCCATTTTCTTGGTATCTTCCTGTCTTTGTGATTATCTGGAAAATTGACCCCCAAGTTCCTTCAAAATCAAGTTGCCTCCAGCACAAATTCATTCTGTTTGCACTTGGTCAGATTTATCTGTTGTGTCTGAATTCATGTTGTCAAATGCCATTTCATTTCCATCTCCTCCTATGATTTGGGCACGGAGGTGTTCGAGTACAGATGTGATTGTTTCATTTTCATCAATGATGAGTCTTTGATAACACTGGCTGGTCTGGGGTGTACATTTATAAGAGCCATTCACAGTTCCTCAATGCCTGGGGTGCAGCCTCTCCTCATCCCTACTTCCTAGAGTTCTCCTCTTCCTGAAAAACTCAGTGTAGGTGCCACATCCTCTAAGAAATCTTCCTTGGTTTCCTTTCCCTACCAATTTTCCCTTTTACTTGACTTCTTTGTGTATGGATTGTGTTCTCCGCCCCCCCCAGCCCCGCCTCCAGAAGACTAAAATCTCCTTAAGGATGTGAACTATTTTACATTTTTTTTATATCTTTTTATCCCCAGCACAGAGAAATCAAGTCAACAACCATTTATTAAGTGTTGATTATATGCCAGACACTGTCCAAAGTGCTGGGGATGCAAAGAAATTGACATTTATTTGGGGATGAATTAAATTTGAAACCTTAGCATCATAAATTTAGAGCTGCATAGGTCCTCAAAATCTAGTCCAATCTGCTCATTTATAGATAAAGAGACTGAGGCCATGTTGCTAAGACCAAGAGGTAAAGCCATTTACCCAGTCTCACACCAGATTATAAGCAATATAAGCAGGATTAGAACTGAAGTCCTTTGGGTCCAAATCTAGCTGCCTCTCTATTTATTTTCTTCTTACTTTAGTTTATAAATCTTCTTTGCTGGGACTCATGTCAAGCTGTCTACACAGTGTTAACACCTTGTAGGGGGTTTGTTGAATTAAAGTCCAGACTCTGTTCCCACCACTGCTTTGTGAAATGAAATTGCTTGTGATATGCTAGCATCTTCCATGGAATTGCTTCACAAATGAGTTTGTGCCTTAGATGGTACCACACCTCTCGCCTTGGCAAGGAGATTAAGTCCCTGCTGGCTGAAGGAGGTTCTGGGCTCTGTTGGGCTCAGCGTCTACATCAGTTACAACTTTTCTACACCATAATGATAATCTGGGCCATTTCTTTGGCCTGGACCTGTAGCGGAGCAGTGAAAGGAACTCCTCGCACACAAATTCCATCCACCAACAGAGGTCTTCAAGCCACAAATACACACCTTGTAGCTTTGTTGAGCTCCCTGGTCTACTGAGAAGCGAAGAAGGCAATGGCCCAGCATCACACAGTTAGTGTCAGAAGTAGAACATAACTCTCTGACTCTGAGGCTGGCTCTCTGTCTTTTAGCTCACAATGCCTCTTCATCAGAAGGGACATTCTTCTTTTATCTCTTTCCTTTTGCTCTGAGTCAACAGTTTGTTCAAATATGTCAAACAACAATTATAACAATAATAATTCACATGAATATATCATTTTGAGGTTTGCATGGTCTGAATACGTTATCACATCTGATTCTTGCAGCAACTTTGGTGAGGTAGGTGCTATTATTACTCTCATTTTACACATAAGGAAACTGAGGCAGATAGAGGTGAAATGACTGGTCCAGAGTCATTCAGCTGGTCAGTGTCTGAGGCAGGATTCAAACTCAGATCTTCCTGATTCTAAGCCCAACACTCTATCCGCTGAACCACCTAGCTGCCTCAGATAGCTTAGAACTACTGCAATTATGTGTACCATCTTCACCCCGCACCCTTCACCTTGGAGCTTTTCTCTAAAAACTGAGTTGTCTGATCACACATAAATACTCGAATCTGAAATGATCCCCACATCAACTTCTAATTCTTTTCTTGAAAATATTCATGATGTACAGGTAGATGTGAAGCTTTTGAGGAATCTTCAAGCCTTATTGACTCTTATTTCTTAATCAGGAAACATTTTTTGAGATAATTTGTAACCCCATTAGGTGGCATAGCTAGGTAGTGAAGTGGATAGAGTACCAGGCCTGGAGTCAGGAAGACTCATCTTTCTGAGTTCAAATCCAGCCTCAGATACTTACTAGGTGTATGACCCTGGGTGAGTCACTTAACTCTGGTTGCCTCAGTTTCCTCATCTGCAAAATGATCTGGAGAAGGAAATGGCAAACCACTCCAGTATCTTTGCTAAGAAAATCCCAAACGTTTTCAACAAAAAGTTGGACATGAATGAAAAAATGACTGAACAAAAAGTAGGTGGCACAGTGAATACAGTCCAGAAGTCAGGCAGACCAGAGTATGAATCTTGCCTCAAACATTTAAGACCTGGGCAAGTCACTTAACCTATGTTTGCCTCAGTTTCCCCACCTATAAAATGAAGTTTATACCATATACCTCCCAGGGGTGTTGTGAGGCTCAAATGAAATAACACATGTAAAGTACTTTTCACTTTACATGGAGCCTTCAAATGCTATATAAATGCTAACTATTGTTATTTACCATTACTTTGAATTGAAAAGGACCACAGTATAAATTTTGACTTGATTTGTAGAATCTTGCCTAATTCTTCCCAGAATTTTTCTAATTCTTCATCCTCAGCAACAGATGTTAGTGCACAAGTTTTCATCGTCTTTAAGCTAGCAGTCATGGTTATTACTGGATGAGGGGATGACTGAGTACGCCTGACTGAGGCCATCACTCTAATCACTAGACTAGACTACAATCACTAGAAATACAGTCCATTTTTTTGATTCTATCAGTTACCACAACCAGAGAATGCCTTATGTCCTAGGCATGAGACCCTGTAGACTTAGCTCTACATGTAAAAGACTCACCCCCAACCCAAAGTTTTCAAAAAAAAAAAGTTAAAAAAATTGTGTCCACATGCAACTGGGAAACAAGATATACAGGAAGTGGGGTATAGAAATCTATCCTGCACTATAGGAAAATTGAAGGGGAAGGGGATAAAAGAAGGGAGGGGGAGAAATAGAAGGGAGGGCAGATTAGGGGAAGGGGTATTCAGAATGCATGCCATCTTGGGGTGGGGGGAGAGACAAGATGGAGAGAAAATATGGAACTCAAAATCTTGTGGAAGTGAATGTTGAAAACTAAAAATAAATAAATTAAAAAAAAAAAGAGACTCACCCCCAAACCACTCCCCGGCCTTGCGCCACCCCCTGCTCCACGCAGAAGCCCTCTTCACTTTGGTCCTCTTACCCGTCTGGGGGGATGGGTAGCCAAACTGCTGCAGGTCATCAGCTTCCTCTCGCCTTCGGGTGTCCGTGGACCTCAAGGATTGACTCCTAGAATTATATCTTCCACTGGCTATTTGGGAGGAGAAATAGGGAGGGAGGGAGGAGATCAGCACACTGGATCTGCTGTTGGCTCAAGTTCCAACCTCTCTTCCCTCCCTGATATTCCCCCCACTCAGGCAAGGAGAGACCACGACTTATCCTCAGAACAAAGGCTCCCTGAGGTCAGGGGTGGGCTTTTCCCTTTCAGACCAGGGATTTCCCAAGGTCAAAGGCAGTGTATTCCCCTTAGACCAGAGGTTGCCTGAGGTCAGGGGTCTCGTTTCCCTTCATATCCTATCCAGGCCTAGAATTCCCCAAACTCTTCCTAACAAGACCTGCTGAGTCTGGCCTCATGACCAGGAAAGAAGGTTCATAAAATTTAAAAAAAGAAAAGACGAAAGCCCACACAGTGACATTCTCATTATAATTTGATTTAACATTATGGAAGGATTTAAAAAATGCATGAAGTCATTAAGGTCGATTATTAGAGAAATCTCATAAGCTGAGACTCAGGGCCAGAGGGAAAGGGATCCCCTTTGGGACCAGGTCTACTTAAGGCATACCCCCTATCAAATCAGGTCTCAAAAGATACAACCTGATACAGTAGAATGAGCCCTGAACTGTGAAATAGGCCACCTGGGTTCCAGGGCTGTTTAAGTCACTCGGTAGAATCCTAGAATACCAGAGTTGCAAAACCTTAGAGACCATCTAAAACAGGGATTGTTAACCTTTTCTGTGTCCACGGAGCCATTGGATGGTCTGGTAAAGCCTGTGAACCCTTTCTCAGAATTATGTTTTCAAATGCATAAAATAAAATACATAGGATTCCAAAGCACATCAATTCTATTAAAATACGGTTATCCACTTTTTTTTTTTAAATAAGAATAGACTCCAGATTAAGAACGCCTGATCTAGCTAAGGTCCCTCAAGGAACGAGAAACACTCAGAGAGAGGAAGTGATTCGGCCCCAGGTTACACTGATGATTGTTTATTTGGAGCCAGGGTGAGGCAGGGATGGTTCTGGTCCTGGCACCATCAGTGATAATGTACAGTCTTGAATGGGTCACATCCTTTCTCTGGGGCCAAGTTTCCTCTTCCGTAATAGTGAAGAGGCCGAATTGAAAAATGATGTTTACTGTTTCTTCCAGCTCTCTTATTTGCCCCGTGAATAATCTAGAGGTCATCTCAGGGATGAGTGACTTTTTTTATTTGTTGTGAAGGGATGCTGCTGTTTTATGACCTTAGGCCTCTAGAAGCAGGGCTGGGTACATGTGAACAAAGATGCTGGCTGGAGCCTAGGAGTGCTGGACATGGAATTTGCTTCCCACAGATAATTCATTAGGTATTTAATACACTCATGTATAATTGAAAGTTAATTATGAAAGAGGATGCTATCCCTTTATTATTACTGAAAAAGAAAGCTGCTCGGGGAAGGGGGTGGAGGGGAGGTCCAGGTGTCATCCTTCAAAATATCAGAAATAGGCTTGAGGTTGATTTTCTGAGTGAAAGAAGATAGTAAACCAATGGGCCTCGGGATTAGAGGTGGCATGATGCATTGAAAGGTGTGCTCGGTCTCAGTTTCCTTGTCTGCAAAATGAGGAGTTGGACTTAGCCTCTCAGGTCCCTTGCAGCTCTAAAACTACGATCATGTGATCCTCCAACTAGCCAAGAGAACTCCAGATTTAGGCATCCAGGTCATGGTAGTGTCTCCTCCCCCATGGAGTCATCCCACTCTTCCGAGAACTAGCCCAGTATGGGTATGGGGCAATGGGGTCAAGATTTGGTGTCCTAGGGCTCAAACGTCCTGGTCCCTTTCTTACCCCAAGACTTCTCTGTATTCCTTAGTCATCTATTGCATTTTTCCTGACACCCTATAATCCCTCTCACACATCCCAATATTCTTCAGCTCCTCTTTCATATTCCATACTCCTGTTCCAATATTTCATAATCCAGACCCAATATTACCTAGCCCAGAGCCAACGTTCTGCAACCCCTCCCTCATATTACATTGCCCCGTCCAAACAATCCACAGCCCAAATCCAACAATCCACATTTCCTACCCCACTAGTCTTCAGCTCCTCTCTATCCCACCATCCAGTCCCAACATTCTACCACCAAGAACAAATACTCCAAAGTCATATCTACTTTCACTGTCAAGTTCTGGCTTCTAGTTAGACTAAAGCAGCCAACCCCCCTGAATCGGAGTCTCTCCCCAAACCTTTTATTCTCTTCCTGACACTGCACTGCCTTCCTATGTTCCATCTCATATTGCCCAACCCTCTCCTATTACTAATTTCCTAAGATAAAGTGCTGGGCCAAAGCTGAAAGTGTCTGAGTTTTCAATTCCAAATGCTGCTTTCATGTGAAAAGGAAATGAGAGAGCCCAGGTTGTCCGAACGTTCATTAATAATTCTCATTTGTACAGCATCTAGCTTCACAGTTTACAAAGCATACCTCTGGGGGAGGTCTTGAAGATTTTATTGTCTTCAATACCCAAAAAAGGAAACAGAAACCTAGAAAGGTTTTGGGGAAGAAAGGGAAACTGAGGCCCACATTTAGCTGAAAGAGATGAAGGGAGGGGCACTTACTATTGCATGCCTTTCTATTGCACAAACGACCCTCCTCGAGGACGCCCTCACAAGCCGCACCGTGGCCAGGGAGGGCCAGGCATGTTCTCTTCCGGGTCTGGAGCCCTCCTCCACAGTCCCGGGTACAGTCTCCCCACAGGGACCAAAGGTTCCAGCCTCCTGGGCAGTAGAAAACAAAAATTCAGAAGGTGAATGCATTCAGGGTCTTTAAAATTACAGAGAATGGCAGAAATAGAAGGGAGGGGTGGGGAGAAAACAGATGAAATAGAGACCTGTGCCTAGCCTCATTAAACTACCCCTCCCCCCAACTCCAGCCAAATAAGAAATCTTTTTTTATCAAACCCATTCCCACCCCACCAATCCTATGCCTCTCATCTCCTTCAAGAGTTGGCTCAAAAATTCCCCTCCTTCTGGAAGCCTTCCAGGATTGAACTCCAAACCCCATAATGAACACTACCCCTCATCTCTTTAAAAAGCCAGGGCTCCCCAGACTAGATGAGACTGTGTTCTAAGACACCCTGGTGTTCTGAGCAGTGTGAATAGGAGTTTCCTGAGAAAATGTTTGTACTTAGCAGTATTTTCGCCTCGAAAAGATTAAAGACAAAATTATATACGTATCCAAAATACTTATTACCTACGGCAATATTCCAGGGAGAAAATAGGCTTAATTTCCTCTATTTGGATCCAAATTTTCCTAAACTCCTTCCCCACACACATATAGACACTTTATCCTGGGGGTGTTTTAGGCTTCCAAGTACCCATGGACAAGCTTTTATGATTTTCATAAACATATTTCAAGCCCTAAAGTATTCTACTGCCAAATTAGTTAGGGAAATGTTATCTTAGGCCCTTATGTAAACATAAAATTCTAGAATGTCAGAACTGGGAGGTAACTCAGAACATAAAATATGGAATGTCAGGGCTCGAAGGGAAATTATAACATTGAAAGTAGAATGTCAGGACTGGAAGAGATCCTAGAATAAAGAGCACTGAATAATGTAGCTAGAAGGGACCAGGAAACACAGGGTGTCAGAGCTAAAAGGGATCTTAGAGATAGAACATTGAATGTTATGAGTTAGAAAGGATGCTGGGATATGAATATCAGAGCTCGGAAGACCTTAGGGTTACAATGCCGAATGCTGAGCTTAAAAGGACGCTAGAACACAGGATGCAGATCCTTGAACCCTCATTTTATTCAGATCAATCTAGCTGCTGATGGACTACTTCTTGTTGACATGCCTCTCACTCCTTTACTACTCTCAGCTTGGTCAATGAGTACTAGTCTTATTTCTCTAAACAGGACATAAGATTCTCCAACCCAGAGATCTAGCATCCTCCCCACCAGACCTCCAGAATCCATCTCCCCTATTCCTGGGGGCAGTTGATTCATTCAGTTTTGGAACGCCTGCCTTGGGACTGAGCTATTCTGATTGGCGGGTAGCTGAGGACAGACTCACCTTCTGTAGATACTTATACCTAGCTGGCCCCAGGGCAGAAAGTGCTTTACATGCCATTTAGACATCCACCAGGAATCACCTTGCTATCTCACTGCCTCCATTTACATTCCCCACTCTCACCAACACACTCTCTCTCTCTCCCTCCTTCACTACCTATTGCTCTGGGTTCATTAATCAATTACTATGCATTGTCAATCAGCTGCCCTATGAATCAACTCACTGTCCTTGGAATTCCGAATGCCAAAATTCCATTCCCTGGTCACTACTTCCTTGGAGAATTGCTTTAAGAGCAGGCAATATCTTATATTTTTATTTGTGTTTTCAGAACTTAGCACAATGTCTGCTCTAATAAAACACTGTTTCATTCATTCAGCTTCCATATCTCTTTAGCACATTCCTGATTATTTACCATACTAAGGCCACAGGGTCACCCTGTAACTTCTCAGGATCCTTAGAGATATATTGTTCCATTTACCTTCTCTTCCCCAATTGGATTGGACTGGCATAAGGAGGGAAGGATGGAAAGAAGTTAGGGGACCATACCCAAAGCAGAGTCAGAAAGAGTTAAAAGATAGACTTCAAAGGTCCCCTATTTCAACTTCTCACCTAGGATAGGAATCCCCTCCTCAGTCTTAACAAGGTTCTGCTTGAATACCTCCAAAGACAGCAAACTCACTATCTACAAAAGCATTCCTTTACGGTACAGCTCTGATTATTAAGAATTTCTTCCTTTTATGGAGTGCTGCTCTGTTCCTCTGTGACTCACATCCCCGTCTCCTTAGATCTTAGTTCTGTCCTGTAGAGCCAAGCAGAAGAAGCTTTACTATGCCCAACAAGATAGCTCTTCAAATATCTGAAGAGGGCCATCGTGTCTCCCCTAAGTCTTCTTTTCTTCAGGAAAGAACTGACAATCTGCTTTAGTTGGGCCCAGAATGGTTAAGATCTGAGAAAGTGAAAGGGGGGACCATCTATTCCCCTGAGGGAACTTGACCATCAGGGCTTTGTAAGGTATTTCCTAGATGTTACCTCCCTCCCACCTTTAAGGCCCAGTAAAATTTGAGGATCCAAGGCAGAAGGTTCTAGACCTTCAGCTGGTAAAGCAGAGCCAGGGAATGTAGTGTCCCAGAGGTCGGTGTCATTACCTACAAAGAAAAGACGTGTGAATCTATTGGGGAGTGAGAGAGACCTGGAATCACAGGCCCAATTGGCAGCTTGGAGGGACCTCAGGGAACATCTAATTCAATCTCTTCCTTTTGCAGAAAGGGGAACAAAGGTCAGGAGAGGTTAAATAATTGACCAAATTAACACAACTAGGAGGTGTCTGAGCCAGGACCAGAGACCAGGTCTTCTGAGTTCAGGTCTAGTGATCTTTTCTGTATATCATACTGACTCCCAGGGAGAGGCACGGAGCTCAACTGGGAAGGAAGCACCCTTTGGCCTAAGGGATGGCCCTATCCTTCTCTTCCCTGGGCCTTGATTTCATCCTCTGTGTAAAACTGACAGAATAACTCCTTCCCTGCCTTCATCTTCAGGCTGTTATGAGCATCATGTGAGAAGTGGAAATATGTGGTCAGCTCCCATACCTGAGTGAAGCATTATTACCTACGTGGATATCTACCTGCATGCATGCCCATGCCCGTGTGGGTGTGTGTGCACGTGTGTGTGTGTGTGTGTGTATGTGTATGTGTGCACCTGTGCGTGAGTGCGTGTGCTCAGACGTGTGTGCAGGAGCTCTGCAAACAAGATGACCAACCATGGTGAAGAGCAATATTACACCCCCCCTCCCCTGAAACCATCCAGCATGACGTCCCTGGCTGCTCCTGAATTTGAGATGGGGGCAGAGTAGGGTCTGGCATCTCCATCTGGAGAAAAGCGAGGCCCTGTTGTGCCTGAAGGCTTGTCCAGCTGGCATGGACCATGTGCCAGGAAGGCCACTCTTGCTGTCCCTGCCTCATACCATCTACAGGAATTTATGTGCCTCCCTTGCTTCTGACTACTTCCAGCCCCATCCCGGACCCAACTCAAGTTCCTGTTGTATGGGACAGTTCTCTGGGTCTGTGTCTACACCTGTGGCTGCATCTGTGCCTCTAGGAGTGTCCGCGTTTCTAGGAGTTTGTCTGTCGGCATGACTGGGCCTTGTGCTGTTACTCTGTGCTCGTCTCTCTCCGTGTCTGTCACTCTAAGGGTTGGTCTCCTTCTGTCTCTCTTTTTGTGATTGTGTGTTACTTGAGCTAATGTGTGCAGTGTGTGTGTGTGTCCATAACTGTGCCTGGGTCTGCTCATCTCTGGGTCACGTCTATGTGTAAGTTTTTTTAAGGGATTTCTGGTGTATGTGCTGCGTAGGTACATTGTGTGTATCTGTATGGTGACGGGAGAAGCTGGCATGTACGTGATGAGGAGGCTGAAAGGGTAAAATAGTGGAATGGGCCCTCAATTGAGGGGCATGATACATTCCATTTACAAGCACCTACTGTGTGTCAAGCTGTGGTCTAAATATTAGAAATGCGAATGAAGCCTCAAGAACAAAGTAAAGTTCTAGGTCCTGCTTACACATTAAATTACTGAGGGACTTTGACAAAGTTCTTTGCCCTCTTTGTGCATTTTTCTCCTTATCTGTAAAATGAAGGAGTCACATTAAAATGAAACTTGGATTCCTTCTAGTTTTAACATTCCATATTCTAAGGTTTTTTCCACCTCTGACATTCCATATTCTAAGGTGCCTTCTAGCTCTGACATGCACTCTTCTGATGACCCTTCTAGCTTTAACATCCTATGATGCAAGGTCCCTTCCAGCTCTGATATTCACTGTTCTAATGTCCCTTCCAGTTCTAACATCCTATGTTCTAAGGTCTCTTCCAGATATGGCATTCTGTGTTCTAAGGTCCCTTTCAACTTTGTCATTCTATTTTCTAACGTTCCTCCTAGCTCTAACATCCTATGTTGCAAAGTCCCTCCCAGCTCTGACATTCACTGTTCTAAGGTCCCTTCTTAAGTCTGTTAAAAGACAGTGTAGTATAGTAGATATGGTGCTAGAACTGATATTTGGGCAGGGTTTGAATCCCACCTCTGACAGTCTCGATAAGTGTGTCTCTGCAAATTTATTTATTTGTGTATCTTTGAATAACTGGGCCCAGGCCTGTCTCTTCCTCTGTGTGTGAGTCCTTACCTGTATGGCCAAGAGCCAATTACATCATCATTCTGAGTTTGTTACTTCATCTGTTAACACAGACTACAGAAATTACAAATGACAAAATGTATGTAAAGGACTTTCTAAACTTAAACGTACTGTATAAATGTTAACTATTAGCATTATTCTAAGGACTTCCAACTTAGGCAGTGAGGTGGTACAATGGGTAGTGCACTAGGCCTAAAGTCAGGAAGACCTGAGTTCAAATCCAGTCTCAGATTCTTATTAGCTGTATGACCCTGGGCAAGTCACTTAACTTAATGGAGATCATAATAGTACCTACCTCCCAGGGTTGTTGTGAGGGTCAAATGAGATAATACTTGTAGAGCATTTGGACCATTCATTCCATCTAAGATTCTCTGTTCTATGTTTCAAGGTCCTTCTAGCTCTGATATTCTTTATTTATTAAATTTATAATTTTACAAATGCTCTGCTGTGTTCTGAGTCATGAGTTATATATGTAGTATATGATTATGTAAATGTTGTGTCAGTAGTACAAAATGCAACTTGTGAGT